CACAGGGTGAACACTCCCTACTGGCCCCACCAACATCTCTTCCAGCAGCAACCTTAATTTTTTCCAAGAGGTTTCCCATCCATTCACTGGGCAGGCTCACATCTGCAGTGCTTAGCTTCAGGGGGGTTGCCAGTTTTTATTTGCAGGATGATATACCGGCTGGCTTGAGAGCAGTGTTAAACTAATTTCAAGTGTTTTACAGTGTGGTGGACAATGTTTGTCACCTGGCCACAATTCTTCTTCAATTCTTCTAGGTAGGACATCCTGAGGAACTTTGTATTACAAATTAGGTCTCTTGTCTTTGTGACCTAATGAATTACGGTGTGTACCACTGCATCTCAGCAGTCACTCTTCCAGAACAATTACAGTGCTGTTGTTGCAAAAATTATACAGGATCGAATTTCCCCAGATATTAAATATCGGTCACAGTAAGTTTCACAATAAATTTATCCTTGGAGAAACTATGCCAAATGTTATGAAAGGAGACAAATCTGTAAGCCAATTTTATATTTCATCAAACTGATGTTATACTAGTTTATTATTTATAATTCCACAATATATATATATATAAATGATACGAGTGTGGTTCTAACTTTTATAGTGCAGTTTATTCTCAATTTTGCATTATTAATGTACGGGTATAAAAACTTCTGGATGTGTATATGGTTAATCCAACAATCTTCTAAGAATTGGACATTGTCAGAAAATTGTATACAGTATACACCTGTTTAGGTGTAAACTGTTTTAGTTGAAAGAAAAGAGTCAAATGTCAGAAAAATATGAAAAAAGACAAAGCTCTTTTAACTCAATAAAGGAACATTGAAGAGGAAAAGGCCGATTAGATTCCACTTGGAAATCTCATCTACTGCCTTGAAGAGGGTCACATTGTTTGAGTTTGTGCAAAACATACCTCAGAAGATAAATGATCTCTCTGTTACACAATAAATTCCTTCAAGCCTTGGACTTAAAAAAAACCCCAATGTCAGGTGTTTACAGTTTGAACCTATTGCCCTTTATCGGTTATAAACTAAGTATGAGTTCATCTTCAGGTAAAGGGTAAGAGAAAAATACATATACAATAAAATCAATCAAAACCACAGAGGGAATATAGAATATCTATCATAATATCCACGGACACCCTTGGAAGAAACAGTTGTGGTAGCTGACATGATGTACTGCCACCCCTTGCAACAAAAAGCAGTTTTTGGTAATGTGTCCTAGTGAGCAGGTCACAATTAATGGTATGGGAAGAGACTTGTACACAAATACAGCTATACAGTATGCTAGTGGTGCAAGTCTTTAAATTATGGTAGTCCTTTGCAACAACAGTTTTGTTTGTGTGTATGTTGTTTCACTGAGCTTTCAGTGGCTTTTGTTTCTCTTTATTACCCACATTTATTAATGGAGATTTCAGTTACTATTTATCCAGGTTGCCTGTCCCACACTGTGATTCTGTAAGACATACAGTACTGTATATCTGCAGCCAAGCTGGATATACAGTATCGTTTTCACAAAGCAGTCAAGAAATATAAGCACCAGAGCTCTTACGCCACCTCAATTTCCCCTGGACCACGCCTCCCCGAGCACCAGCGTACCGTCGACACGCTCCCGTTTGTCTTCCATCCCCGCTCCTAGTCCTCTCTCCCCCGTGTTTGTTGCACTCCCTTCCGGATTCTATCATCTGCATAGGGTCCTGATTAACGCTATGTGACAGTCCCCAAAACAGCACCAATATCCTTTTAGCTACAGTCCGATGAGGCAAATAAAAATCCATTTCTGCTGCTGCACGTGGTCAAGATTCAACACTAGGCTAGAGCATACAGTACGTCTTTGTAGCGCACCAAATACGAGCACACGTGGATACATTTCTAAGATAATGAGAGGAAAAAACAGTCTGTATAGTAATCTGAAGATGTTGCATATCATGCCTAAAAACTGCTGTTAATGTTATCACATTAAAGAAGGTCAGTGTACCTGCCAATTATTTTAAACAGAAATTATATTTTGCCAAACAAAAAAGAGGTGCTAGTACCACAATTTACCTTCACCTCTATCAGTAATTCACACACTGGTGGTCAAAATGGGAAATTGTTTACACAGTTATTATGCATACCAAATAAGAGGACACTTCCTGTTATTCCACTTGTAATTTCCAATAACATTAGCACGGTAAATGTCAGAATTACTTCTGAAATGTTCTTAGAACTGAGTTCAATCCCAGTCATATAATTCCATTAACACATACTGTAATTCTTTCCATTGAAGTATAACTTCAAGAAAATAGATTTTTTATTTAATATCTGCAATTGCAATCTATTTGACAGACAACAAAGAAAAAAAGTGCACAGTGTAAATAGATGCATACACCAGACTAACCACATATACTGACTAGCATTACAAACACAACACATGACTATTCAATTTGTAGTATTTGTTTTTTAATTTTTATCAGTATACATGTTCCAAATTTTCATATTTAAATACACTACACAATAACTCAGATTCAGGGGGAGATTCTTTTATATTCAATTCATTATATTCATTTCTTTTATATTAAAGGTGGAATATCAGGGCTGTCTTCAAAGTCTTCAATATCTTGTATAGACTCACTCAGTCGTGAGCATTGCAACTTTAAAGGCCCTTGAGAAATTGTCTTCTTTTCTTGCACAATATTAGCCAGATCAATGATTGATTGCTTTCTGGGATCCACTTCCAGCTTTTCCAGTCCTTTTGCTTTACTGCAATGAGAATAAATTAGCACAAAAATCAGTGTGATCCAAAGTGATTCAAACAGAACAACAAATGTTGATTCTTTAGAGGTGATGGAAATTCATTTTTTAAATCAGTAAAGGTTAAATAACCCAGTTATAAAGATAAAGAAAGGTGTACTAGACTCCACTGTTAGACACAAAGTGATAAACACCACAAATATTTTGAATATCGTGAATATTTCAAATAATTCAGTCTCCACTCAGACTGAGCTGGGGTGCACTTAACTTCATGAGATACACACTCAATAATGCAAATGCATCAGCACCCACTTTATCTAGCACTTTAATTTATACTAGTTGAGCAACGTATTAGTACAGGTACTTACATTAAAACAGAAATACATTAAATGGACATTTTTTTAACATACTGTATTAAGGATCAAATAATGGAGATATTGTCCTTATAATTCATTTTATTCATTATTACAATAGCTATCATCTTCCATTCTAAAAACAAGTTTCTTATATGAGTGCATCAATGGTGTGAGGCTATAATACTGATCCTAAACAGAGGTGTGTAAAGAGCATCAGACAAAAAATGTTAATATTCAAATCTGAATTTGAAGAACTGCATTTAATAGACAATACACAAATTATATTACTAACTCATTACTGTAAACTATTTGTACATTCTTTCATCCATTTAAATAAAATTACTGTTTAATATCACTGAAATTCTGAGAAACAAATATGAATTGTTTGTACTTTCTGCTTTCTCATCAGTTTTCATCAGTTTCATTAGTTAAGCAAGTTTACTTATAGAATACTGTACATATAATTCAACAGATACCATCTCCTAAACCCAGGAGGCATCCCAAGACAAGGGCATACAATTTCTCTTTATATCTCTTCTCCAATACTCCAAATTGCTAGGCAAAGCAGTTTAGTAAGGTTAAGCAAAACGAAAACTTTCTGCTTCTGAAAGCCTCACAATGTGACAAGAATGAAAATAAAAATATGCTTCACATATGCATGCATTTTTCACATATTCTTTATCAGAGTGATCGTATCACGGTATCAGTGGATCATGCAACATCATTTTGGTTTCACTAAATACACACAACTGAAATGAAAGAAAGTGAACAGTAAACATGTACAGTAGCTAATTGGAAACCCAATCTATGACCATGTCCCTACACACATAAAGCAGGGTACTGTCATACAAACTATTTCCCTCCAATGAATGACACAAGAATCAGCATACTCAAAAAGGAAACACCATTCACTAAAGTCTTATCTACAATAATTGCATTGCAGTCTGGTTAAAACAATGAAGTCTTCTTTGTTTTTAACTGATTATCTGAAAAATCACCACAAAAAAACACAAGCAACTTTACCTACAGGATTTGCCTTCTTTTTAGATTTTAAAGCAAGCAAAATAAAACTAGAATACAACAGAGACAGGCTTCAGCAATGCTTTGGAAAAACTTAATTGGTCGTTTTAAACCTCTATATTTAGCAAATCACAGAGTAAATTGGAAAATATATATTCATAACGCAAAATCGGTGAAAGGAAGTGCTAAGAAACATGATAGCACATAATATTTATAATGCAAAAAAATTAAATACAAATATAGATAAAAAGAAACAAAGAAGCTTCATAAAATAACTTAATTACAGTAAGTGATCCTTTTTTTATCAGTGCTAATATAGACTGAAAACTATGGGTGCCTTGATACATTCCTGTTTGATACTATTACAGAAGTAATTGCATGGTAACTGTAATTGGATTCCTGTTTCTTGCATGAGGACCAGCTAAATTTTCAACCAAAGGTGTAGCCAGATTAAACCAATCTCTCAGGTGTTCTCTCCTTTCTATTGCCCTGTGTTCTTTTTTTTATTTGTCTGCCCTGTGATGGAATTGCATCCCATGTGGAGAGTAGACCCACAGTGCGTCCTGTACCTCCAGGATAGGTTACTGAAGCTTTCTGATAAAGGATGAGTAGATGTTTTCGTCACAATGAATTATATATTTTTGCAACACAGGTACAATGTTATTTTTCATTAAAATATTTCTGTACTCTCGGGTAAATTATTTTCTAAAATCTTAAATCTTTAGTACTTTCCCTTAATCTGGAGGGAATAAACACCAGAGGGATTCTGTAAAATGTAGCTCAGTCTGATCACCCAGGAAACCTTGTCTTGCCTTGAGGTTGTCACCACCTGTTTCCCATTTGTATTCAGAGGGCTCTGTGACGCTCAGTAACATTTAGTCAAGGTAGACATTAGATTCAAATCTAGGTTTTTGGTTTGGTAGCTACATCCTATTGTCTTTTTTTTACAATCCTAATTATCAGAATACAACAGGACATGATCATTATAAATCAAGAGCGAAGAAGTGTAAGTAATTGCAAATTAGTGTCAGACACTTCTGCTATACACTAATTCAACTAGATGATTTCTGTAAACATTTTCACTTTCAAAAGTCTACCAAATGTGAAAGTAATTGTTACAATAAAGCATATTATTATATTTTCTGCAATAGCAGTTTTCTTGAGACTGCCTAGAAAACAAAATAAAGTAAGTTGCATTATATCATCTTTATCTTGCATGCTAAATTACAATGTGTATGTGATGTGAAATTATAAATGCTCAATTTATATATTTTATTTCAGTTGATCTACATTTTGTTTTCATTTGCTGATTTATTTCTTATTGAAAACTTTAAGTTTCTTTTCACAAATTTAAAGGAACATCATTTCTATTGAACCCATCCTGAGATAGCTGCACTGAAAAAGACATGGAGGATTTGTTCATGTAAAGATATATAACACTACACTGACTCATGTGTTCAGAATTCAGGTAATGTTGAAGAAAGAATTGTCAAAAAACACGTATTAATATTTAAAAAATGTATTTGATCTCTTTTAACATTAGAAATCAGAATATCAAAACATCCAGTGACCTTCACCCTTTTTAAGGTAACTATTAAAGCCCAGTTCAGGCTTGTTAGTCTTTTGATTCTAAGGTCATCGTATGCCAACAGGATAACGCCAGCATGACATACTAAATGCAACGTTTGATGTACTTGTGCTTCATTACAGTAATTAGATTCAATCTCACTGAGACATTCCAATAACAAATATGTCATATCCCTATTAATGATCATTGGTAAGGGCAAGTAAGGAGAAAACATGAAAACAAGGTTTCAGAAAAATGGTATACAGTATATCTTGTTAGGTGAGTGCTACAGTACACCAACAATAATGCACGTACTGTATGATATTCATGTTATTTTCCTATTTTCAATATCCACTCTTACAAAGAACAAAATATGATTAATAGCAGTTCATTACCAGAGCCCACACAAAATTAAGAACATTTTAAGCAAAGCTTAAGCTTAGCTCCCCAAAATACGTGCAAACCTGTTGTGTAAGTGTACAGTATGTTGTGAATGAGCATGCTTCTACAGGCTAAATATTGAGTTTGAAAACTTTAGAAATATAAATGAAAGGTTATAAATGAAAAAATCACTTTAACCAAATAAGGCTACATTATTCAAATTCTAAACCTGTAAAGGTACTTATCACATGTAAGTCAAGGTTATCTTTCATTGCTCGTACTACATTCTCATGAAAAAAACAGGTTTTATCACAACAGGTGTTCCTCTTCAAAATGTTGTTCTGTCTGGCAGCCCTTTTTAACCGCCTTTAAGAGCTTCCAGCTCGACTCAGACATATGAAAGACCTAGAAGACTGTGGCTTCCCTCTTCTGTCCTTGCACTACCTTTTTCCTTTCTTTTCGCTTTTTCCTTTGCTTATCTGCTCCAAATCTCCATTTTCCCTTTTCCTACTAATTTATTCCTGTTTTTATATTATTGTTGGATTTACACAGTTTGCTTAGGTACCAAGTCTTTCATGTCATGATGATTGTTCACATTTGTTCATTATTGTATATGGTACCATGTGATCATTTTTTTGTTTTCCCTGAAAAACCAATAAACAAATTGAACATAAACAATCTATCTTTAATTGAAACGATCACACCTTAAACATAGAATTGTAAGAAAGACAAAGATCAATTATTGTCTTAAATTAAATATGATTTATTACAGAGTTAAACAGAAAAAGTTATTAGTAAGCAGGGAACTTAATAATTGTGTATTACGCACAAAAAATATTTTGCTTATGTATTGCATGCTCCTTTAAATAGATTGTTTAAGGTATTAAGATTATTCCGCAAAGGTTCTGAACGTAGTTTAGAGAGCACTTTGTCAAAATGAGTGGTTATACATGAGAGCCAAATCAATTTGTGTTTTACTAGGCATGAACAATAGTAAAACAAGTGTTTAAAGAGATGTAGGCAACTGATATAAAAAAGAGAAAACTGAAGTGGATCCAATATTGTATTTTCTCACTAAAATTTTGAAAACAACCGCAATAGCTGCGGGTTTTCAATGTCTTCACTGTGTTTTTATTGAAAGCATTTTGAGCTATAGATAATATTAATGTTTCTCTTCGGGGACAACTAATAAAGAAAAAAAGCAGATTTTAAAACTAGTAATGGAAACATCTGAATTGCTTCCACTTAAAATAAAAGCTTATTGGGAAAATTTATAAATGTGCTACAATTGTACAAAAGTGTTACTGAATTGCTTTGTGCACAGGAGATCCAAACCTCATTTGTGCATTGAAAGATATGTGTGTGCTGCTTTGTATTAACTCTGGTGTCTTGGCTAAATTCAGTTTTAGACGTGTTCAATCAGGATTACCTGAATGTCCCCACTAATTCGAATGGTGAATTTATATTTTAATTATCCCCTCATTTCTGTGTGCTAGCTCTGTTGGTACAGAATGACTGAAGTGCATCAATGAGGTGAGTACTGCACTTCAATGGTAAATGGAGTGGATCACTTCCCTATACTGTATGTTAATAACACTAAGTGCTATGTAAATGCAAGAAATTATTGGCCAAGTTTAAACATTGTGCTTGACTGAATACAAGTCCAATGTAAAAGACACCTGGAGAACTACAGCACATGGTGTGAATTATGTACATACAGATGGTGATATTGTTTTAACATGTGACCAGAGCAGAATATTTGTACTATCATCCACCCATTGCATTTGTTGACAAGAGGCATATTTTGAAGGAGACAATTTCATCCAATTTTAATGTTGTTTTTCATAAATAAATAATTCCACCATCTTAATTTTCACACCTTATAAACTTGGTATTTATAATTCCAATGAATCACTAAATTAAATTTTAAACAATCGCAGTTGAGACATTTGTAAATATCTTCTGTAACACCTATATTTAAAAAAAAAGCTTTCTCTGTTTAGTTTGCAGTACTTTTACTAATTACATCAGTGGACAATTTTTTTCTAGAATTTTGTTTTGTTCAGAATAAGCATAAGATTTAACAAAGTTTTAATTCCAATATGAAATAAAGCAAAATATTTTCTAAAGCACTGGCTGGCAAACATTTCACTATTCACTATTTCACTATTACTACATCTGCTAAAAAGAAGAGACCATTACCTTGTGTTACCAGTAGATGCTTCAATGGCACGTGAGGATTTTGAAACTGGGGATACTTTTGGTTTAACAAGCTCCTGAGCCTGAAAAATATTTTTTTACATTTCTGAATTAAATACAGACTTTGAAACCTTTACTTTTCCAACCTTGTAAAACATTGTTTAGTTGTCTTTGACAGGTTTTCTACTTTGGTGGGATTTAATCCAGTATACTTCACGTATACTTCAAAGCAGAGCTACAGTATTTGTGCAGTCTGTACTTACAGTATGTGTCCTTACATACTGTATGTGTTCGTGCTGTTTTATCAATGAAAACTGGATTTTTGTACAGAAACATTTTAAATTGGACCTTTCTTTTTAATACAAAAAGTTACCAGTAATTGTAACATTTATTTATTTACACTCAAGTAGATACTGTAGCTGTGTCAGTGTGCGTAGGCTGCAAAGGAACAAGTAAAGGTTTATTCCATGCTGTTCATGTCAGGTAGTTAAATAGGAACTGAGTGTTCAGTCATATGGAGATTTAGTTACCACTAATTTATACTAAATGTTTTGCATCCTATATACTAAGTGAATGTTTGCTTACAAAGATACAGAAGATACTTTTGAAGTTATACCAATAAGTAGACTTTACAAATGCATTTTCAAATACTTATTGGATGCTACAAATTTTGCACAACTTCTTTCTTTAACTGTCTGACTTGTTAGATAAAAACATTTGACATAGACATCTCTCAACTTAATCTTAGGCAAACATTAAACATGGGGAAATACAGTATACAACTTAGGTGAAAGTCAATATACTGTATATACACATTTATAACTTTTCTCTGACTAAACTCTGTGAAATACTTTATTTTATTATTTCCATCTAAAGTATTACTTTATTTTGTTTTTTTTTTCAAATTTCTATCACTATACAGTCATGACCAAAAACAAAGTTTAAAGTCTGTAATTGCAATCCAGCACAATTGATCAAATTATCAAAATAAATAAAATTTTGATTAAAAACATTTACTGCTAATATGGGTATTTCTGTCTGTGTAATATATTATTAGTTTCAGTGACAATTGATGATTAATAATAACACATTTTATTGTTAAGCACTATTAAAAAAACTCAAATATTAAAACCAAAATTAAGCTACTGTATAACTATTAAGCAATAGTAAAAGAAGGGTTTTTAAGTTTTAAAAAATGTCCACAGTCTCTGCATCTCAAATGGTTTTGGTAATAAGTTCCACAGATCTGAACTAGCAAATCACTAATAAGGTATTGCGCTATTCTGTTGAAATAAGTCCTAAGGTAACCCAAAGACAGAAGATTCAGTTTGTTACATGAAAAGAAGAGACCATTAAAAAACATTTTAAAGATCACAGGGTGCCAATGCAATTTAAAGAGGACATTAGTTACACGCTGAGGCAAAATCACAAAAGTTGCAAACTCACATATTTAAACATTTTTACTACTTTTAGTACATACTTTAGTAGATACTATATGTAATGTTTCAAGTTTAGAGTCAAAAAGTAATTTCAAAGCATTTTAGTTCAGCCACAGACACATGAAGCAGTACAGAAAATGCACTGAAATTTAAATGTTCAAAATCATAAGCTTCTGAATTTCCATAAAATCAACAATATCGATTAATATTGACATTTTTTTTACTTCAACCATACAAAACAATTGCAATGGTATTTACTTATCACTGCCTCTGAGATTACTGTGTTGTAATTGACACATTAAATAAAATGTTGACGAAGAACTAGAGGATTGCCTGTCGGGAACATCACATTCTTATCAATAGGGCTGACTAAAATGAGCATTGTATATTAGATATAGATTCTATCAGCATTTGTCATATCTACCATATCTATCTGTAGCATTATGTAATCAGCATACGCATAAAGTAAATATGATGTCTTGGCACTGTGGGATGAAGGACAATAATGCCCTCTTTTTTCAAACAATATTTACAGATATGTTTTTAAGTGCACAAAAAGTAAGTATTTTTTCCATGGATATCAGTGCATCGACTACCTGTACCTTTGGCATTATGACAACCAAGTGCCCTGTGGTTTGAGACCTTTTAGCTATGGAGCTATCAGGCTTCACTTCTGTAGGAAGTACAAGCTGGAAGATCTGGAACACAAAAGCACAGCATTTATTTTGCCAAATGTGCTATTGATACATAACTACAGTCTACAATTCAACTTTTTTTTTAAAATGGACATATTTAGAAACTGAAACAAGGTATCTACTGTACAAACAAGTAATTTAATTTTATAAAGTTGTATAGTCAAAGGTTCTGTTTAGCTTGTATTTCAGTTTTTTCAAAGACCAGTACTGTATTTGAAAATTCATATGGTATGACAAAGCAGAAAGTATCTTCAAGTTTAACACTTTAACGAATGTATTTTGTTTTCGGCCTATATAATGTCTACATGCTCAAATTATAATTTTCCAAAGAAGAGTACTTGCCAAAAAATGACTAGTGTATTTTTTCCTGTTCCTCAATTGTCACTTCTCCTCGGAAGCCAATTTTTGCTCTATTTTTTATTGGTAATTCACAGAAATGGAATCTCAAGATAGCAACTCTCATATTTATCTTGACAAGCTTCATTTTCACTTCACATTTTTATGGCATAAAATTAGATGGATTTTTTTGTGAACAGAAGAAATTCAGTAATGTGGAAAGCAGGTCAGTAAATTTGTTTTTCTCACCATTTCTATGAAAAAAAATGGTTACGAAGCTGTAATTGCATATTACTGTAGAAAAATTATACCATGGTTTTAAAATTTAACATGGCAAGCATAAAAGCATAAAAGAGTACCCGAATTTTAAAAGATAAATTTCACATGATTATATGAAAAGGGAAAATTTGAAAAGCCAAAATAATTCAGATTAACATAAACTAATTGTCCAAAAACAAAGAAAACAATTTCAAAATATATCCAGCTAATCCATAATCCAGTTATTTTATGCAAAACAAAATGAGAAAAACAAATTCTGATGCCATGTGATACTCAATTAACAGAAATTAGACTATTATCTTAAGAGTTCATGCACTATAGAATATTTCTAACACAATTGTACTGTAGTCGCTCAGACAATATAAAAACCCTAAACACAAAACATTCTCATTAATAGCAGGTTAATGGGATGAATAATCACATTCCTTGCTTTAAAACATTGTACAGTATCTTAAGTTATACAATGATCCAAACAGGCAGAAGTAAAAAAAAATACAGGTTTTACCACATTAACTATTTTAATTCCATTAAAACAGATTAAGATTTATAGCATAATGTATTCATCATGTTTTGTTTTAAACAGCATTATCATTTAGAACTATAAAACCTAGCTAGTGGTAGAAGGCTATACTGAAAATTGTTGTTTGAGCAATACAAATTTAGTTGATGACAGATCTCCAGTAAATGCATCTAATTTAATAATTTAGATCCTGTGTGTCATGGGTACATACTGTAACAACAAACTTGGAAGCTACTGTACATCCGTTAACTAAAAATCAGTGACCTAAATACTAAAAAAAACATTTATTCATTCACTACTACCGCATGAATGTCAAGATAAATAGAAACTTCAGTATGTTAGGATTTTAATTCTTAAAAGTTAATATAGTCATAGAGGTATCTATGGTACATCTCAAATGAATCACGTCATAACATTTCCAATAAATAAGCACTGCACGTAATAGTACAGAATGTTGTATTTATTTGGGAGTAAAATCCACACATAAGAACTGTCTCAGTGCCAGTGCAGAAACATCACACTTTTCTGACAATTTATAACCTTAAAAAAAAGTAGTCAAATAACCAGCAAACTTGCAATTTCAGTTCAAGGCTGTAATAATTCAAAATGTAATTACAGGTCTGGGCACTGTACCTGAAAAACGTTTTTGGCAAAATACCTATTTTTACTTGTATACTGTACAGTGCCTTTTTGTCACGTACACCAATTAAAACACTGTCCCATTTTCTTCATAAACATACAGTAAATATGAGCTGTGCATAACACACATTAATAGATGGTATGCACAGAATTCCTTAGTCAAATTGAAGTATTCAGGTTAAGTTTTAAAAAATGTGTATGCGTCTTTAAAAAAGAGATACCATAGGAAGGGTATTAATACTTTTGCAAGTCACTGTAAATCATTGTTAATGATTTCATTAAGTTGAATGGAGAAAATTCATTGATTGTTAGCTTACGATTGAATTAGACAGAAAACTGAAAAGGTACAAAAAGTCTTTGTTACTCATTGTCTTAGCAGAGCATTGTCTGCCCTGAAAGAAAAAAAAGCATGTAGTACCTTTCCTTTAACTATGACTCTAATGTACGTTGGTTGAACATCCACATCTAGAAGGGATGTATCCAAATACCTGTAGGCAAACATAGAAAATTAGATACTTTTTTCCTTATTGTGTTTAATACCTCCTAACTTGACATTTTTCTATGCTAAGAAGCCCCAATATCTAATAACTAAGTAATTTAAATAACTGTGGATTGCAACTAAAGTAACTAAAATGCAAAATAACATTTTTTAAACCAGGAAGATTCAATTTAAATAATATACCATACAGCATATACAATTATTTGAAAGATAGAAACTTAGGCCTTAAACACACTGCAGCATACAGTATGTGAATACATCATAAAATGCCAGAGATATGTACCTCATATTAAAATATACTAATACATAATTTTAAGCTATAAGTAGAACACAATACAGAACAAATAATTCAATAGAAGGCAGTCTAAATAATGTTGCTTGTAAGTTAAAAGGTTAATAACAGTACTGTTTAGAAAATTTACCAACCCGTAGACTGTAGACTGATTTACTGACCTGTAGACTGATAGATCCAGCAAAATATTGTTGCCATCCTCATCGTCCGACAAAGAGAAATCAAGCCTTTTATAGATAAAAACATTACACATTTATGCTTAATACAGTTTAAGCTAATACAACATTGCTTCAAACACACATATACATATGCAGCAAACACTATTTGTAGAATTGATAGCAGTACCGTTATTTGTCCAGTTTTTTTTTTCTCCAGGACATAAAAGGGCTAAATATTTATCAAGAAAACCAATATTTCTGTGAACTACTACATTTTGAATACCAGCTTGAATACCCTATACATGTTACTTTATACATGGATTCTGATTTTTAAATACTAAATAAGAATATCAAACAAAACATTCTTCACTCAAAATAAAAAAAAGGAAAAAAAAAGTTCAGTTTTCATCAAAGATTGAAAGGTTAACAATTTCCAATCAGACTTGTGACTTTCAATCATTTTAACCTTGGTATTACAACCTCATTTTTTAGGTATGGCAAAATAACGAACATTCAAGGGAAAGAGTGTGAAAGAGTGACCTCTGATAATATTATACAGGATATGTGATTACTGTGGATTGATTTTGCTTCTCTTGCAGCACAACTGGAGACAGCTTCCACCTACATGTAAGCAATTATGTACTGCTTTCTACTGTCATTGCTTCCAGCCCACAGTCCATTGGAGACAATATACAGACTACAATGTAACTGCAGCTATCCTTCAGTTTTTAAGTGCATCTCACCATTCACTTGAATCAGGCACAGATACAGTTATGAAGTGGCATATGCTTAGATTGACGTTTATTGTCTGATGTGGCACCCTGTTTAATTCTCAGTGATGGTGACTATATGAAGTCTGACTGCATTTGATATGAAGATTATTAGTTCTTTGCTACTGCAATGCTTTAAGGATTATGTGATAAAAGGGACAAAAAACAAGTTATTCATGGGAGGGCATATGTGATGAGTGACAAGCAACAGAGATATTAATGTGCTACCTCTTCAAGACACTGGCTTGTCAGTAACACAGTGTGCAGCAGAAATAACTGGCACCTTTGAAGTGAAAGTTCTTATAATTATTAACATTCCTTGTCGTGCTGAAGCATCCTGAATTGAAACACCGTGCAGTATACTGTAGCTCTGAGATTCTATTTTCTTGTTAAAGGTGTGATTAGAAAAAGAAGACTCAGAAAGTTATAAAACAAAGGTCATAAGAAAATGTACAGACAATCTTAACATTATTAAGAGGACAACTGTTTAGTTTGTATAACCAACCTATTAATATGTTATTAATTATGTAATAAACAGATATTCATCAGTGTTATAAATCAGTCTACGAGAAGGATGGGGCTTTGTTACTATGCAATTAATCTGTAGTACAGGTTGATTATTATAACATACATAGGTTGGTTATCATAACAAATAGAAATACATTCTATTTATAAAATATATCTAGATCACACTTGTAATCTAATATGTTAGGCTTTTAATTATAAAAGGGATTTTCCAGCTTGTAGTTCTTATGATGCATCAATAATAATTTAGAGAAATGACATATTCTTAATAGGTTACTAAAAATAAATCTCTTATTTTATCGTGCTTTACAACTAATGGAAGATATCATAACATAAATAATTATGAAAAAGGAAGACCTTAAGACTGAAATAAATCAAAAATTACTACAAAACTGGTAAGAGCAAATTAGTCACTGAATTAAATGTCTTAGGTGTTAATGATCTTAGATTACTCTGACCCACTCATTAAAGGGGTTGTGAGTAATTGCCACTTATTCCACAAATACATCAAATGATTTCATTTTTGCCTAGTGCTCTTTACACAGTTAATGCACTGCTTTTAATGTCTACATACTTGGGCTCATTGACATTCAGCACTCGTCCATCTGCTGTGATCAATGTCCTTGCCTTCTGTTTTTTGTCTTTATTCCTGAAAAGAAAACAATGAACCAAATTTTCAAGGTTTGCCTGACTATGATTAAAGTTAAAAAAATAAAGGGCTGCCTCTGTAAGATGAATTGTTTCACTGAAGAGTTAACTGTCAATTGTACTCTCATTTTTTATGGTATAAGCAAAACTGAGACATTTACTCAGATAAAAAGAATAAAATAAGATAAAATAGTATTGTTTTGTTGTGAACTATTTCTATTAATTTGACATTTTCCAAAATATAAGAAACCAACAACAAAAGAAACTCCAGAGAGGCCAAAATTTCAGTTCTCATTTTGGCCAAGAAGTGACAGTGAGGATTACCATTGTTTAGAATCAAGAAGAAAAAAACCTATTTACAAAATTTACGCACATCTGGACATTCCTAAAACGCATAAAGTGCATAAAGGTGGCTCATATGGCGGCTCATATGTCCCCTGGAAAAAATGTACATAAGGGTAAAATGAATCAATTCACGAGTAGGAGTTTTGGAAGTCAAATTTATATTATCCCATGAATTTTTTTTTAATCATTAGAATTTTAATTCCAGTTACAAATACTAACAATCATTAGCACTTCAATTGCAATTATAAATTCTAACAAGTGCTAAAGGTGCTAAAGGTTCTCTAATAGAAAAAAAAATAGAAGAAAATCTCCTTTGTTTTGTCCCTGAACTCTGCTAGATTATGCTTTGGCAGTACAGTATGTTGATAGGCCTGTCCCTAACACAATAAGCATGTCTTGAAATTAAGGGCATACTTATGGAGCCAAATTGCTATATATATATATTCTAAGGTACTGTAACCACCAGTACAAACTAAAATTTGACGTCTGTATGGATAAACCAGATTTTTTTCACCACAATACAGAATCAAGACTAAAACAAGGGGCAATGATAAAGAAAAGAGAATAAAGCATCAGAAATAACATTTACTGTATAGTTTGACTGAGCGAGGACCCCACTAAGGGTTAATGCTGCAGAACGGAAAATTTCATACAGCATGTGATCACTTCCCTTCCCACTATGAATTCAGAATTACGAGTAAGCCAAAGGAAGAGAAAGATAATTCATTGAACTAAAAAAAAAAATAAAGTGAGGGAACAAATTCATTTTATTGTGGTTCTGAAGATAATGCAACATTAACTGAGTGAAAGAAGGCATCCCTGACAAGGGCCTATAGAAACAGAAAATCATGAAGAACATTTGCTGTCTTTTAGCATCATTGCTGAATAGCTGGCATATAAACATTAAAACAAAATAGCATTATTGAGTATTGGAATAACGTTATCTGAAAGCCCGACTAAGAGACTGTGGACAAACAGATTTTTACCCATAACATCCTCTGCATGCTGTTGCTGGTACCACTGAATATCAAATATTCAAAGGAGATTGACATTATTTTTTATTCCTAACCTTTTTTATTCCTATACCCTTTCAAGGTTACAGAAAGTACAGTCTACTAAAAGAACTTCTTGACTATGAGGATTATTTTCTGACAAGCAGCACAACTCATTTAGACATTAAATTTGATTCTACCCTATAGTAATCTACCAGATTTATGGCTTAGGACATTTACAATATAGTACAGTGTTGACGCAAATACATTCCTGACAACACTGTAAATGATTGTTACTGGATAAGCCCCACAGCCACGAAGAGGCTAGGTTAAAAATTTGGTTTACAGTATATTGTTGGTGACTGTTGATGATGATCATCTACTCATGTTTGGCCACACATGACTAATTTCAGAGGGATGAAGTCAGCTGAGGAAACCCAATGTAACTGCACTGCATCCAGCAGACACAATGGTGTCCTGTGACTGCTCAGGATTTCGTTTTTAGTTTTAATAGGGAGGATCCAAAACTGATATCTTATCTCTTCACAATGAAAGTTAAAAAAATTAAAGAAATGTTCATATGTTTATTAGGGAAAACATTTAGAGCCACTAAGGACAATCTTTGCCATTCCCCAATGAGCCAATAACTTCAAAACAAGTAACACTGTGACTGTAGAAGGTGATGTCTAGAAAAGTTGAGTATAAAATATGTGTAATTAATGCAAAGGAGTACAGGTGCTTGGAGGAGTCAAGGTAGTACAGGGACCTAATTAATATGATTACTAGGGCTACCTGTAATGCATCTTGCTTAACATACATACAGTATGGTGTGATGTGTAAAGTGACCTAGTCACCAGGGACACCAAATGTTAGAATAATATCAGGGGTTCATTTATCTGATGATTCCATAGCAACCTTAAGCAAAACAAGATCATGCTGGCCTGAGTTCATGTTTAAAACCTACAGTATATACTGCAGGCTTTAAAAGCATGAAACCTCTCTTAATTTACTCATAGATTAATAAGGCAGCCAAATGATAAAAGCATCCACAATTTAAATGAAAATCATTATTCAATAAATATTAATTAAGCTGAATTAATTAGTGATTTTAAAAACATTTTTCTTAATTGGGAAGCCTCTTCATTCTAGAAAATTGGGTACTGTTTACATCCGGTTACAGAGAAAAAAATGTTTTTCCAACTTGTGCTGAAGTCTGTGTAACACTGCCTACTTGTGGAAAGAAAATAAAACACTGCACTTAAGTTATTTCTTTTTCACTGGAAACAATGGAAAAAGTAGATTGCCTCAACAATGCACCATCTTGCCATTGTATGCAGTTTCTTTTTTGAGATTGTATAACATTTACAGTAATATTGAGTAGCACATGCCCACTGTTTTTCAGGTGATGTTGCAAAATTAACTTGAATTATATTTGAGTTACAGTAGATGTGCTATGGATTCAAATCTTCTAACTGTACAGTATATCCAAGCAAAAACCATACCTTTCACCCTCTTTAGCTTTCCGCTTCTCTTCAATGTGTCTGTGAGCTTCAATCCGGGACTCTGGAGTATAAGCACAAGGCTCTTCCCAAAACTCTTTGTCTTTGTCATCTTCACAGAAGCTTTCCTCTCTCCCGGCCGCAACTTGCTTTGCATTACTTTCCTCACTGATAGAACAAAAGAAATAGAAAAGCATGTGAAAATACCAGCTTTGCTGTAAGTCACCTCTTTCTAAACTCCCGTTGGTCAATTATTTCTGTATTTGAATACGTTTTCATAAGTAACTAACGTACAGAACTTATAACTGGTGTTCTGCTCAAGTATTATCAGTTCATCATAATAAAGCACAGTAAAAATGTGCCTGCAGAAAGACAGTTTTCTAAAAAATAAATTAGTGGATTTCCATGTATGAATAAAAATCAATGTAATACAAAGTTAATCTCAGTCTGCTTTCCTTAATAAAAATATATTTTATAAATGTTGAGTTGTCCAAGACGTGGTTGAATTCACAATACATTCACCATAAAACACTTTGTCTCAACAGTACCAGCCATATACTGACGTCTGCATCACCCATCCAAAAAAGACAAGAGGTTTTCATGCAAACCTTTTGTACTTCAATCGATACCTTCAATTTACACTATTTATATCTAATTTGCTTAAATTAAAACTTCTGCCATATATCTGAGCAACAAAGCATTTCAATAATCCTAGATAAAGATACAGTTGCATATTTATAAAATACTTCTTTATTACACCTTACAACAAATTCTGCTAATGTGAGGTAGGGAACAGAATTACACATACCGAAGCTGAAATTTACTGTATTGATATTAAAACGTTTTGGTACCTTTTTTAACTTTAAGGTACCTATTCATCCTGTAAATATACTAGACACATACTGTTACCATTTACGAGCAAAAGTCTTAGCATTGTAGTGTTAGTACTAGTATTAATGGAAAGATTACAGTTAGCTTTTATTATGCTCCTTTACATTTACAAAATAGTGTTAATAGTGATGTACCATTGTCCATCACAGCCTGGCCTCCTTTCCTGTGTGTCTGTTTTTTCTTTCTTCTGACTTTTCTGCAGCTTTCTTTGGGCTTCCTCCTTCTCCTGAGCTCTCTTCTGCAGGTAGGCCTGCTCCTGTTCCCTGATTTTTTGCCTCACTGCATCCAGACCCTGCATTGACTGAATCCGCTCTGATCGCCCAATCTCTTTGCCATCCAGCCACTACCGACAAATGAAAAACATTACATCCATTAATTAGTCTTGGTAAACAGATCATATCAATAACTTAGCATTCATACAGTGAATTAGAGAGGACATTTAAAGCAGAATGTCATATGGTAGATAAATAA